TATGTGTATTGAGTTATTTAGTTAACTATTGGCATATGGCTGCACAACTTCAACATTTGTCTAGTTGTTTTATATGTCTATGGTGAAGACATAAATTTGTGGATATACAAATTCACGGGTACACATGAATATTAACAATTTACAGAAAATATTAAATAACAGATCTTATAAATCAAGCATGAATGTGTGTACATTTGAAAGAATCCTTAATTAAGACACACATTCATAATATATCACTAATAAAAAAAATGTTTAGTCAATATACAATTTATAAAAACATTCCGTTATTATGATAATATATGCATAGTTAATATATTATAATCTMAAGTTAACATAAAATACTTTAATTACCTGTATTCCTCTAACAATCATAATCATTCGCTGGGCAACACTATGTGTTCTGTCAATTGCATCTCTCAAAAAAGCTTCTGCAATAATCCTGATTAAACTAGGAATATTAGAATTGTTTGGTCCCAATACCAAAGGATGGTGACTTTCTATGAGTTTACACAGGTACCCATAAACAAATGGAGCTTCGTCAGTATCTTCACTAACAGGTAAATTACATAGCCTAAAAAAAAATGTTATGTTATTTTGACCAAAATTTAAGAACTATTGTCTTAATATTACCAGAGAGGTAATATGTCATTAACGTTGACAGCTGAACTGTTAAATTCTAATATTTTGGCGATGGCTGACACTGCATTTTCAGTTGCACTTATATTATCAGGAGATCGGGCTTCATTGTTATTGATCACCTGTAGAAGGAATGGCATAATCTCAGCACACACACCAGCAAAACTAGGTCCTCCACACATCCCTAGCACTCCACAACCATAAATTGCTGCCTGACGAACTTCACTGTTAATATCCGTGACATATCCAACCATAGGTCTTAAGAAATATTCTTGATATTTAGCACACCCAGGTCCACAAAATTCAATAAGGTCATCGAAGACACAAAGACCCCACTGATGATCAGATGCACTCTTATCAGCATCCTATAAACGTTATGACATTAAAGAAGTGAAATTAAAGAGCATAATAAAATATTACCAATAATTTAGCAAATTCGTGTACAATAAGATCAAAATATTGGAAGAAGTCTGTTTTAAAAGTGACAAAGAGAGCATGCATAATGTCAGTCATTTTGCTTAGTTTGTAGACATCATCAGTATMTTCCAAAGCTAGTCTTTCTTCAACAACCTAATAATATACACAAGTTATATTAAAAGATTCCAATAGCAAATTAACAACTGTTAACTTATTAATTTATACCTCATCATAATCTTCATCTTTACGTCTTTCAAAACGTTGAAGTTCATTCTCAAAATGAGAATTTAAATTTTTTTCCAATGTATGCAATAGATCTTTCATCCATTTGTCTGATAAACATCCTGTTCCCAATAATTCTATGCACTAAACATTACATTTAAAAAATAATGAAAATTAAATGATAATTATTATTTTAAATTATTTACTTTTCCTAATGCGTCATACATCTCAGCACTAACATCTGGTTCTGGTTCAGATTCAATAGCTTGCAAAAGTTCAGGACAAATATAACCCCACATGTGTTGCAAATATTCTGGTCCTGTGTTATTAACAAAATAATTTATAAAAATAAATTATAGAGAGCATGAAACACATTCATTTGGTACTTATAATCTATCTATCTATCTATATATATATATAGAAATGGATATCTGTCTGTTTGTCCTATATGCATTACATTTTTAAACAGCTGGACTGATTGCAACGAAATTTGGTACAGAGATAATATTTAGACCTATGAGCATAAGACAAGCTAAGTTAAAAAATGATAGGCCCAACCCGGGAGATGCTCAAATAGACATTTTGAGATTTACGATGGAAATTTTTATATATAAATGGTTGCTTATTATCCCTAAATTTTTTTTATTGTATSTATGACACATGYGTCAATGGAATTAAAAGTTTTTTTTGTTTTATATTCAGAATGAAGTGAGGATTGTATTGATTTTACAATGATGTATTATTATTTTATTTTTTTTGTGTCATCACATTTTGGAGTAGAAATAATGTTTTGATTTTTGACTTCAGACCCAAAATTCATGTAGTTGGTACTTTGAGGGGTTAGTAAAAATTACATAAATTTCATTGTCATCATTATTTAAATTTTGATTTGATAGCATTATGGTTCATTAATATTACTAAAGACCATTTTGTTGGAAATTAAAATAAATTATAACCTTTCTTTGAGAAAGTTTTAACTATTTGGAAAATATAAGTTTTTTTTTCWATTAATTAACCCACAGCTACATAGGCCATTTAAGCTGTGTAGGTTGATACATGTATGGTTTTTGGAAGAATTTTGGATTGGACACCTGTAGGTTTCTGTCATGCCCGGGTGGAGAGTAGTGGCCTCTCTTTCCAAACAGCATGAACAGAAAGCTATGTCGCCATTCTAATCGGTTATAGTAAGCTTCACAACCGATGTCTAAATCCACCMGACTCTTATMCCGCCAAAAATATATTTAAATAACCAACAACAAAACGTAAATTTTGTAAGCACATTTTTCGTAAACAAAATTATGTTAACAACCAGAGTTTAACAAATGTTTATAACTAATGCAATAAATTTATAAATTCAAAAACAAATAAATAAGCTTATTGCAATTTTTAATTATGAAAACAAAAATATTTTCTAATATTAACAAAATAGGAAGGAGAAAAAAATGAAATCAAAAAAATTATTTTTGTTTTCCCCTTCTAGAGAAGCATCAATCATCTGTAAATATTAGACAAACAGAAAACATTACTGCATAACAGCGTTTGACTAAATTTAATAACATACCTCTAATTTCTGCACATTCCAAAAGACTAGGCATACTTTGCGCTGCAGCAATTCGAACATTATCATGAAAATAAAATTTCAATAAAGGCACCATAAGTTTAACAACATCTTCAGCATAGGGTGCAAAACCAGTTTTCAACTCTCGTGCATAACATACAAGCATCTCACAAGCTGATGCCTTGTCTTCTAACCCTGAAGTTCTAATACCAAAGTTTTGTTGCTCTCCTAAAGGTACAAACTGCCATTCACTATTATCAGTCATATTACTCATGTCATCATTATCCAGCAATGCAACTTCAGGTTTCAGAGAAGCAGCAGCCATAACTGGACCGATAACCAAAGGAAGATACTGTTCGAATTTTTGACCTATTAAATTATTCWTTATTAATAATTATAAAACTTTTGATTTAACAACACATACCCATAACTTTACACATTCGAGCCCAAGAAGATATCAAGTATGAAGTTTGAGGATCATCTTCTGAAAGTTTTTCATCTTTGTTATGTGTTGCTAACATTAAATCCATTATATCACTAGCATCAGGCAAAAACTATGCATAGAACGCAGTTTTACATAAATCAATCAGCAGTTTTACATAAATCAATCAAAATATAAATAAGCAATGATTTTAAATTAACTTACCTTCTCTTGACCAACAGCTAGGCCTATTAAGCTAACACATTCTATTGTTTTGCCTCTTAACAGCTTTAATTCAGGAGCAACAGCATTACGAATAATTTGCTTCAAGCATGGCATAAGGTGGTCATAAAACTTAACGAAATCTCCTTCACATGTGTCAGCCACAGATGCGATAGTGGTTACCATTTGCTCTAATACTAAGCGTCTACCACCACCTTCCACAAGATCATTTATACGAGCTTGTAATATACTTTCAAGTTTTACCATGATCAGATCCATATAAGATAAAAGGGTTTTTTTAGGGCAATCTTCACAAAAGTTTACAAGAGCCGCTCCTAAAAATTTTAAAAAATCAAATATTCATTAAAAAATAATTTGTWAAATGAAAAAAAATGAAGGAGTTAATATAATTTCAATTGCATTATATTAAAAGTAATTCATAAATGTATATACCAATAAAAAAAAAAATATTATTTTAATTTTATAATACTACACTATTATCAGTATTGTTGTACAAAACAATAAAACCATAATCATTTTAACAGTTACAATTTTTGCTTCAATTGAATTTTAATTTTCTGTCATGATTTAGTAATTTTTAAACAACTTAATAATTTTTATTATTTAAATACTACTTTTTTAACTGATATTGTTAATTTAACTGACTATTTATTAACTACAACTATGGAGATTTAGTAATGATTTTCTGTATTTGACTCACATATGGGCTACATAGGATATTAAACGTTTTATTTTGTCAAATGCACCATTTGATGTCAATGATGTAATGAAGCAATAAGAATTCTAAATACAGATTCGAATTTGTCATCAAGACTACTTGAAATTGATTTCTATACATTTTTGATATTATCCGCCAAATCAATGAAAACATTACATTAATATTGCTATATTTCAATTTTTGAAGAAGTTAAAATCAAAAATATAAAAAAGTTGATCTCGATTGAACTTAACAACAAGCCCACATTTATAATCAGAATTCTTATCGCTTTACTATATTAATTGGTATTTTGATAAAGATCATGTTAAATCCTATGTTACGCTAGTGTTAAATAAAGACAGAGAATCACAGTATCAAATCTCCTTTAATTGTAAATATTAAATAATATTTTTAATTAATATGGATTATAATTAATTAACAATATACTTTACCTGCATGTGCTTGAACTCTAGGATTTAAACTATCATCTAGTAACAGTAATATAGCTGGAACAATTTTGTCATGGAATTTTTTTTGAAATGTTGGTGCGAAATCTGCTGCCATCTGTCCAATAGCATTGCACATTGAATATCTTACTCTAGGATGCTAAACAAATAATGATAACATTAAAATATTGTTTTAAATTGAAACATTAAATTACTTACTGGATCTTGTAAGAAAGTTAAAATTCCATCCAAAATTTCTGGGAGCATAGGCAACATCTGTTTATGGCAACCTTCCCCTACAGCTGATATTGCCATTAAAGCAGCATGTCTAAAATATTAAAACAATTTAATAAATACAAAGAAATAAAATACAACCTTAACTAATATATTTTTTACCTATACTTCCAGTTTGGATTTGCCAACATCGATGATACATTACTTAATATATGTGGTAACATTGTTTTACCACCAAGACCACAAGCCAGCCTGTCCAGTGCAGATTCAGCTATAACACTCATACTAAACACAAATGATAAACCAACATATTAGATATTTTGAAATATTAAAATTATATGATACTACTATGGTATTAATTACCAAATAAAAAATAGTATTACCTTTCTTGGTCAGTTTCATCTGGGTCATCTTGAGTACCCCAATCATCATCATCTTCCACAGTAGCCATAAGTTCCAACACTTGTCCAATTAACTGTATAATATACTTAGATGATTCTTTACGCATCATTGCTGGTGCTGTTTCAGCTAATGTAACAACTACTTCGAGACACATCTGACGGTATGATTCACTTGTCTCATCATTTCCGAGATACTGAAAATATTAACAATATATAATTTTGAACAGCATTTATTTAAAATATTTATATCACCTTCAAACACATTTCTACTATATTTGACAACTGAGATCTTAAAAACTTTGGCGCATTTTCAGATAAATCAACCAATAGTTTAATCAACGAATCATCTTCTTCAGCCATAATGCTGTCATTTGTTATCTATTTAAAAAAATATAGTAGTTTTTTACATCATTAATTTATATAAAAACCCTTACTCTCATCATATTTGGTAATAAATCTGTAAATTGTTTTTGAATTTCTATAACTTTATCATGGTGTAATATGAAAGCACAAATTGCTTTAACAGCTTGTACTTGGACCTTTAAAATAATGAATACAAATTAATAGATAATATTCATCATTAACTTAAAAACAATGATACYCACATTTGTATCAGGTACATTTAACGATTGTTGGAGCATTTGTTTTATCACAACCAAATAGTTAGACTGTTGATTACCAAAAACGCCTGGTACGTTTCTAATATCAAAACAAAACAATGAGTAAAATAATAATTATGATTTAAGTACCCCAAAATATTTTACTTACGTAAACATTCTGAGCGCAGAATCTTTCATATCATTTGAAGGCGAATTGGCACATTGAAATAAGAAATTTAAAAATTCTGGCCAACTATTATTACCATCATCATCCAACTGATTTCTAGCTACTTCAGAAGCTACATCACACATTCGTCTACGTAATATGTCATTTTTTTCGTTATTCACACTTAACAACAAATTGTCTTTAAACTGTTTTTGATTTTCGGGTGACAACTAAAATAATAAATCAGTTAAAAAACAAATAAACGCATACATTAAAATAAACTAAGAACTAACATTAGAAAAAAATTCCAAGAAATCATTGGCCATAAGTCTGCGCAACATTACAGCTGCCACTTGTTTTTCATCTACATCACCAGCTTGATTTTGCACAGCATTGAACAAATAAGATACTTTTGATTCTAAAGGTAAAGATTGATAAGTTTCCTAAAAAAAAAAATTGTTGTAAAATATAAAATAAAAAAACAATTAAGTTCATTTACTATAAGAATAAAAAACATAATACAACTTAGGTTGCTTAATAGACTAGGTAACTAATGAGTTAACTTCRAAAATTTGTCACAGATTTAAGCATATAATTAATTAAGAGATAAATTAAAATAATAGGATAATTGAGGTATGTATATTAAATCGAGCTTATTGAATCAATTCAATCAAGAGGAAATACTTTAACATTATAATGAAAATAATTTAACTACCTATTTAAGATAAATTAAAAACCAAGTAATTTCTAAATAAATATAAGCTGGAATTCCTCAATCCTACCATAGAGTTGAATAAAGTTCAACTTGTAGGTACCTAATTCGTTACCAATATTATGCCACCTCTGTAAAATACTGAGGTTTAGAACACAGCACGAAACAGTTTAGTGGAAACCCAACTTAAATTAAACTTTCAACCATTTAAACTCCAGTAGAACAACGATATATTCTAAATATTAAAATCACAACAAATGATTTAAAAAATAACCATTACTATAAACAGATTTTAATGTAAGTTACATTTAAGAAATCCACGAGAATATGTCCTTAATAAAATTATGGACAAAAAATAAATTGAATCAATATCAACAGGTAGTCATTGAAAAGTAATCCACAGTACTTAAACCAAACATGCGTGGAAACCACAAACTAAGACTACATTTGAAACATTAGACATTTCAAGAGCAATAATGGTTTTGGAACGCACATTCATCAGTTCGGATTGTTCGATAGATGGGCGAATAAATGATCATCGAATACAAAGATCAATAAAGACGAGTGAGGAGGGATAAGTCGACTGTCACAATTGTAGAGGTAAATTACGGCCAACCAGCTCGTTACCRACCCAAAGTGAAGTGTTAATTTACCTCGGCGGTCTGCCGCACATTATTGTCAGTACTCAGCAGGCTGGTGAGTATTTGATGGAAATCACCCATGTTGTCGCCTCCGGCCATGGTCAAGTTCGCAATGACACTTTGGGTTCCTGCGGCGGTTGTTACGGTGCGAAACTCGTTATCGATGTTTAGACACCCGTCGGTGTGTACAGCTGCTGCCGGACCGCGAATGACCACTGACGACGACCACGAGTCGGTTGCTACCGGTTAAAACACAATGCCCGTGCTTTACCAATCCGGATTTGGTTAGTTCGGGACGCGTGCTCCGTTCTGCAGAGCCGGAGGACGTGCGCTTACGTATTCTGGATTATAGTTTTTCGATTATACTTTCCTCCTACACGCTGCAAGCCCGTTGGCGCCGTTGGCGGTCGAAGCGTTGAGCACAAAAATGTGAGACTACACGATAATGATGGTTTGGTTAAGAATATAATTTCGTTCGTGAAGTACCTAATACCCAGTAATTACCTAGTATGAATAATACCGCGTATCGCAACGGCGCAGGGATGTCCAACGTGCGCGACAGTGTGACTACAACTGATTCGCCATGATGTTCAACGACCATTGTATAGTGTACACACTGCGGTAGTGCGATGATTTTGATAACCACTGAACTGAATCAAGGTTKTAAAAAAAACTTTTTTTTCAATGTTTATCACGGACTAAAATATACATAGATTATGTACAGAGTGTTTCGCGGTAATTTACTCACTGCGATATCTCACGAAATAATGGAGATATCAATATTCTGGTTTTGTTGTAAGACTCGCAGGGATAAGAACCACAATTATTTCATTTTTTAATTTATTTTAGTGTTTTGGTAAAAAATCTAAAAAATATTTTTCATTCAATTATTTTCAAAAAAATTAAAGATGGCCCTTTTGTGGAGTTTATTTTTCTGAAAATATTGACATTACAAAATATTTTTTCATTAATTTCCTGATTTTTTATAGTTTTTCTAGTTTTGAAGAAATAAAATATGATTATAAATTTATAACTATTTTTTTCATAAGCACACTAAGTGTTTARTTCAGTCGGCCGTACGAGAACGCACGCGTCGCGGCTGGTCATATGTTTGATAACATCATTATGGTGTTAAATAATTCACAATTTTTCTCAAAACTAAAAAAATTTTGAAACGTCAATATTCTCAGAAAATAAATTCTACAAAATGAAAATGGTGAATTTTTTGGAAATAATTAAATAAAAAAATATATTTTTAACTTTTTTACTAAAACATAAAAATAAATTAAAATATGAAATAATTGTAGTTCTTATCCCTGTATGTCTTATTACAAAACAGGATTTCGATATCTCCTGAAATAATGAAGATATCGCGATGGTTAAATCCACGCGGGACACTCTGTATATATCTTATATACATAGTACATTAGTACATACCACAGTTCGTCGTAGTATTTATCATACTTTTCAGTACTGCTGATAATGCGTACCGTGTCCTTGAAAATTGACAATTGCCAAATTCRTTGCACTCACAGAACTTCGACCAATTTAGTTTATATAAATAAACTAAGTTTAACTTTTGTTACTCAGAAGTCAGAACGCACTCATTGATTTATTCAAGTCGGTATAATGTTAAAGTATGCATAGTTAATAGTTTAATACATATAATTGAAATTTGAAACTAAAAGCTAGGAATATTGTATACTAGCATATTTTCTATATACAGAGTGTTTCAACAATCATGCTCAACCCCTTTTTTCTTTAATAATGAAGTWAYACCTACTTATTCAAAATCTTTGATTTTTAGAATCTTTAGATATATATACTCTAAGACCATATTTTAAAATTCTTGAGGTTTTTGTACCTCTTATAAGGAGTGTCCTGCAGTGTTGATACAAACTTTTGTTTGGCATAAAACAAGTTTAGCACCTATACATGAATTTTATTCTTTCTTTTTTTCTCTTGAAACCTATGTATTTCAACGATTTTAGAACGATGGTGCAAAAATTAATTGGCGGAAAATATTATTTTGGAAGTTATAGCATTCCAAAGTTTGCGATTTCGCGTTTATACGCTTGCGCGGAATACTATCTTGATGTCTCGCAAAGCATGGTATAYAAGGAATAAGAATAGTATGCTCAATGATAAGACCTTTTTAGTTGTTATGTATATTACTAGTATATGTCATTTACTATAGCGTATACTATATACTTATATGTTATACTTAAAGGTATCTAGTCTGGCAACCGAAGCCGGTAGACGAAGGGAGGAGTCCCTTGAGCCACTAAACTTGTGTTACTTAACTGAAATAGGTCAAGTTTACATGTTAAGATATCCGTCTGCCCAAAGGGCAGGGATGCTTCCTCCCCGCGACCCCGGAGAGGTCACACATCCCCCTTCACAACCAGTTTGACTATTTTAGCCTATAGAGGGGGTTGAGGGCCGAGCCCCCATCCAACGAGAGATCCAGAGGACCTCGAGTTTGGCGACCAGAGCCGTAAGGCGAAGGAAGTCACTACAATACTAGATTACTAGATATATTATATTATACTGTTTAAACAATGAGGGTTACACACATCTATACAAATTGCGCCGAGAGAGTGCAAGTCGGCCGCGCATCCAAATGAAGTCGCTCTGCGGTTTCGAGTTCTAATTTCTCCCACCAAGTGTACTGGTCGTACGCCGTCGATGCGCGAACTACGACGAGTTTTGGTCGCCGCCGACTTGCGCTCTCTCAGCGTACCTAGTATAACTGTTAACCACTTAATTCAGTTTAAACATCCGGAGACTGGACCACAGCTAAAATGTTGGTTAAAAATCTATTATTTAAATTTAAAGTTTTAATTGCATAGATTATGTTACATTGGTTTTTACAATTTACAATTATTTATTGGTTTATATAACTTACTGTTGATCTATAATAATTTCATACTAAAAGCTAAAAATAAAAGTATAGGTACTTTAGTACTTCATTAAGTATATATAGCCATATAGGTATTTAGTTCATATAAGCTATATGCAGGGGCGCCCGCAGAGAGAGACCAGTGGGTGCTATTGCACCCACTGAGTTTTTTTAAAAAACAAAATAATTATTTTATTATATTATAATATATTCAGACAAACCACAACGATATAATTATCCAAGTAATAACTAATAATATTAATCACTTTTTTAGACAATCTTTATTTATTCCCTACTTAGATTCCACAATAATGTCAATTAGTGATAGATTCTCTGATGAAAATTTAAAATCATTTTCATTATTTAATTTACACCCAAAAAAAAATGATAAAAATGAATATCGAAGAGTTCAACAGGTAGTTAAATCTATCAATAACTTATATGAACCTCTTCTTGATAATTTTGAAGAAGAAGCAATAATTTGGTATGAAATATGATGGCTAAAAAAACCATGTAATCCAATAATACACAAATAATTGATTTATTAGAAAAATCTAAATACTATCCTGCTGTAAATACAGCTTTACAAATAGCYATTACATTACCAGCAACTTCCTGTTCAGTTGAAAGAACCTTTAGGTACCTAACATATTATTATAAATCATATTTTGTATTAATTATTTAATATTGATTATAATTATTATCTATTTTAGTGCTTTCCGTCGTATCAAAACATCGGTAAGATCTACAATGTCCAATATGAGGTTAAGCAGTTTGGCTGTAATTCACATTCACAAACAGGCGCGGATTCAGGGGGGGGGCTATGGGTGCTCGGGCACCCCCTGTCATCTAGCCACCAACAAAATAAATTTATGTTATAAATTAAATTATTTGTTATTTTTCAAAATAAAAATAATAATAATAATAATATCGGTGCTTTTTGTTATCACCGTCACATACGACAGTAATAACCATTATTGTTAATTGTTTTCGAAGTATAGTTGTATGTAACGACACGTGTCGACGGCGGAAAGCACCGATAACAATTATCATGGAAAAAAAGTTAGCACTAATAAATCAAATATTAAATAGTAAGGTGTAACAA